TGCATTTCTTCAGGCGGCAGTAGCAGCTCAGGGAGGAGGAGGAGTAGATTGGTCTTATCTGCTAATATTATACCGTCATGACATGGTGACACTTCCAACAAACATGTAAAAAACATATTCTTTATAAAAGTTACATACTGTCTCTTTAAGTTGTTCATACTTTTTATCTTTAAAGAGACAGTGTAGAACTCCAGCGTGTCACCTTCGTTCCATTTTATAGCTTTCTTGGCAAGATTGGATAAGAAAGCGTATGAAGAACAGTGCCTTGCCAATTCGTTGTCCCCATTCAGCATAAATCCTCATTAGTTGGTCCCAGAGGCTAAAGCTAACGGCTAGCCCCAGAGGTGCCCGGACAAAATGGCTCCAATTCCAAAAAATGATTCAAAGTGGTTTTTCCAAACACTGATTTATGAAGCTTCTAACTGTTGTTTTATGAAGATGTTGATCATCATTTACATGTGAACTACAGGTACGATGCAGAGTCCCAATGACTTAAACTGAAAAATGGATCAGTTCAGAGTAATGATCTAAAAGAAGAGTGTAAAATTCAATGAAACTGTCAATTATGTAAAAATACAATACAGTTTCATAGTTCATAAAATTATTTTTTAATTGCTGCTGTGACTCTTGTAGAAGTTGTTTCAAGAACCTTAATGTTCTTAAAACGAGGCCTTTACCCTCTTGGTCTAACGTTTGACTTCAGCCTGCAGTTCATCTGAATTTATACAAAGTAAAGACACACAAACAGCGACATCTTTGAACGTTCAAAAACTTTTTAATACTGACATTTGGTGGCGTTATTTTCTCTGTGTTTCCGGCAGTAAGACTGAAGCGACGGTGTACAGGACGGTGTTGGCTCACCCGGTGGCCCTGTGCCAGATCGACTCCATCAGGCTGAGAAACACGGGCGCTCGCCTCTACAGGCAGGGAGACATCCACGTCAAGTCTGTGTGCGTCTCGGAGCTGCCGCTTCGCAGGTTGGTGCGCCTTCAGCAAGCCGGCTTTTTAGCTTTCTCTGCCGTCCGATGAACAGAGACGATGTCCTACTCTTTACTGACCGTAGGTTATGCTAACAATGCAGGTCACATACTTTTAGTAGATTGTTTCTTATTCCAAGTTCTGCAGAGCAAACGAAAAATGTTATTTATTTTTGTTTAGTTTCTAGTTCAAATATCTTAGTAGACTTAAAAAAAAGGCAAAACTGACTTACAAGCAATTTTTCAGCAAGAAACATGAGCTTGTTTTAAGGGAATAAGTCCCTAATATTGATGGAAAAATTACATGTTTCACTGGCAGATTATTTCACTTAGAACATGGAAAAAATGTCTGTTATAAGTGAAATAATCTGCCAGTGGAAACAGCCATTTTTTAAATTAGTATTAAGGAATTATTGATTAAAACAAGCTCCTGTTTCTTGCTGAAAAGTTAGTTATAAGCTAGTTTTGTCTTATTTCAGGTATATTAGCACAAGAAACTAAACCAAAAATACTTGGTTTTGTGTTTTTTCAGTGTGTGACTAAAAGTGAGAGGACTGATGGGTGTTTTAAACGTCAACGTACATAATTATGTCCAACTTGTTGGGGGAAGATGTGGAGATGCTGTAATCTCCAAATATGTTAAATATTTGTCACTGAAATAAGAAGAAATGCATTTAGGATGGATTTAAGATCAGAATATGGCAATTGCCCAGGGCGCCACTCCATCAGAGGATGGCAAAAAGTTACCAGTTGTGCTGATGAGTATTTTTTATGGCTTTTTTTTTTTTTTTTTGCCTGTTTAGTCAATAGGAAGTGGGTGTATTTACTTTCACTCGTGAATAAAGAGAGGCTCACTTACAGCAGTATTAACATAAAATTCTCCAACGTTTCCAGAGGAAGTGGAAAAGCCTCTCAACAAAATATTTCAATAGTTTCTGTCCTGGTTTAGAAGAGCGAGGAAATTCTGCTTACAGGTGTTAATTTACAAACATTTTCAGTAAATTTTTAAAGAATTGTTTTTTTTTGTTTGTTTGTTTTTTCTGCCAGTCACGAGGCGCCGCTGTGTGTGAACGACATCGACATCAGGCGGGGAGTTCCCTGGTCGCACGACTTCGTGCAGGTGTGCGGCACTTCATGACACTTCGAGTCCACGCCGAGGACAGTGAACAGAAATAACACCGGAGCCACGTCAAAAATTAGACATAAGCCTGTTACCATGGAGACCGTTTTGCATCGTCGTCACCTTGTTTGGATCAGAGAAAAGCCAGTGGGGTTTTGAGGTAATGAAACATTTAGGTGACTTGGATATTCAATACATCTGATTTTCAGTTTAGTGTTGGGTTTTGTTTTGAGTTCATTTCTGAATGAAATGATTAATTTGCCCTTAAAAGACGAGTTCTGTCTCCGGAAAATGTCTACAAGGTGAAACTTACTGTATAACTCTGTCTTTTTCTTAGTTACACCTTCAACAATAAACAAAGCATCACTGTCTTTTTTTTTTTTTTTTAGTTTTTCAAGGTAGCAACATTTCTAAAAGAGGATGAGGGGGAAAAAAAGAGCAAAAACAGACCAAAAGGTAGTGTTTTTCTTTTCTTACAGTCAAATATGGAAACATTTTTAGCTCTGGAAAAAAAACAACACAAAATAGTTCTTGAGTCGGCGTTACAGCCGGCATGCTGTTTGAAGATATTTTAAGGCCCTCATAGTGATTTACAGTCAGTGAGCGCCACAAGTCTGGATTGTACAATCATCACACTCTCTGTAATCTTGTTAAAAAAGAAAACATATGCACAGAAGACATTTGGAAAACATTCACTGCACACGCATACATCAGCTTTATGGAGAAATGTTGGCCCCCGTAATTGTTTTATTCTTTTCTTACGTTATGAATAACAGAAACAGCTCAATTTATCGTTTTAATCTGCATACGACAAAGCCTATTACAAAACTCAACATGTGAGCTACAGGCATGTATTGAGTCATCTGGGAACAAAGGAGAAGAAGGACATCTGCTGGAGAAATTCACCATCAGAACCGCACGCTTCCACACGTTTATGAAGTTACAGCAAGACACCGCGCATTCAGATCGAAGAAAAACCAAACCGATAACTTCGACAAAATACGAGGGGACAAAAAAAATAATAATTCGTCGAAAGCGTGCTCCGTCCAACTGGAGGATCACGATTTAAAGAAATGGAAAGAAATACATTTCCTCATTACAGAAACGAGGAGGAACATGTAGCTCTCACGAAACGTTTCCCTCACTCGTTCTTCCAGATCCCAGTTGATGCTGGGATCTGGTTTTCCCATCCAGTTCCAGTGAATCACATCCAGAGGATCCGTGCGAGACTCATTAGGATGAACAGTTTCTATTTGTGAGACACAACTGTATCAGTGATTAAGTAGAGTAGAAGTGAATCTTAAATCGATACGTTAAAAAATTAATGTTTTGAAAATGGAAAGCATGATGAATCCCTCCATGAAGGTCTTAACTAATTGAGTTTATTACCATTAGTGGGATGCATTATCGTTAAAATGAAGAAATTTATCATCGTCAGCAGAAGAGCTTGTGACGGTAATTTGGATGTTTTGTTTTGCTTTTCTTTTGATTCACAGAGTCCCTTAAAAACCAAGAAAAAATCTGTTAAAGGTGAAGAGCTTCTGGCAAAAGCATCTATCGATGTCAAAAGTTGGATTCAAAATAGAGAGAAATGAGGTTTTCTTCTAGATTTTTACACATAATCTAACAACATTTTCCCCTAAATGTTGATCATCAGTCAGGATCACGTGAAATATTTCTGTTTGCTAAATGCAAGAATGAAATAATTCCTTTGTATTTTCTTCAGTTCCAGAGATTCATGTAGATCTGCTTAACGTATGACCTTCAAGCTATACAGCTTGGGTCAGAGGTTTCGGGTTTTACTTCCAACAGTAGTTAGCTAGAAATTAGCATTAGCATTCCTCTTGACAAAACGGGTTTTGCTACGTTTATATATGACCTCTTTTTCCTCATTTTTTACCTTTTGGTGATGGTCACTAAAAAGAAATCGACTTTGTTTTCCTCAAACAAACTTAAATTTGGTGATATTCTGGTCGTCCAATCAGGAGATCTGTTTGTGACCAAGCTTTCCTCAGCATGATGCTGCCAACTCTGTAAGTTATTGCTAGCGTGTTGCTCTCATGCTAGCACTGTTCCTTGTATTTTTCACTAAATCTAATTACCGTTATTGCAGCCAAAACTCTTAATTTTAGTAGAGATGCGCTGATCGAATATTAATATCTCTATCGATCCCGATAATTTTAAAAGAATTCTACATCGAGTATCGGTGATGATGTGCCCAATCCGTCAGGGTCGATCTATTAAATCTAGTTCTACGCTTTGTACTCCGAGCGACATCATGTTGTTGCACCTTCTTTATTGTTTACATGTTTGACCAAGGTAGTTAGCCTGTTGTTTTGGTGATTTTCAGTTTATTATTTATTTCACATCGGCTCTTATACTGAACAAATTAAAGTTGTGTTGTTTTTACATGTTAGCTTGGGAAGCTACTGGTGTATTTAAGTGTGCTGAATTATCAAAATAAATTTGTAATTCATTACTTTTATGTCTGTGTTTTAAAAAAGGAAACGTATCAAGTCAGTTCAGCACTGTTTTTCTGCGTCGGCTGATTCTAAACCTCAAATATCGGTAGTGGTATTGGAAGTGAAAATAGTGGATCGGTGCATCCTCAAGTTTCTGCTTCATAAAATCACAGAACCTGTCTCCATGAATTCAGGTTTTTATCTGCATTCAAACACTGTTATACTTTCTTATGAGTAATAGCTTCTTCCTCTGAATGTCCTTTCATCTCTACTGGGTATTTTGTTCATGTTCTGGGTTTCATTTGCACATTTAACACCAAAACCTGCTCTCGGCTGGCACAGAAAACCTGTCTATTACATAAACCGTATGATATTTGGACATTGCTTCAGTGTTTGAACAGAGAAGTGTGGCAGAAAAAGATTAGTCCGACTCGTTCAGAGTGAAGAAACAAATTTTTTTATCCAGTGTGTGTAAATATATGGTTTTCATTAAACCCAAATGCACTTAAAAATTCTTGTATACCAATAAAGAAATAGTTTGCTAGCATAATTTGAAAATAAAATGACCTAAGTAGTGCATCAATTAGTTAAACTTTCCTTTAAAATGTGACACGAGAAACAGTTGTGGCGTGGTTAGGGTGAAGGGAACGTGTGTGTCATCAGTACTGGCAGCATCATTCAGCAAAACGATGCAGGAAAAAGTAAAAAAGGACTAAATGTTCCACATGTTTGGGGCTGAAGACGGTGCGAGCAAGAGTCTGCTTCGGTCTGCTGCATTGAAGACAGAAGAAGAAGAAGAAGAAGAAGAAGAAGAAGAAGAAGAAGAAGCTGGCTTCACAGCTTCGGCGTGTCGGTGGGAGCCAGCGGAGCTCTGCGTCTCTGGAACCGAGGAGGTAAATTCCCATCACCGTCACCTCCTGCAACAGCGAATATCAAAGAGGTTTTTTAGATTCAGACCTTGTTGAAAAATGTCATTAATTCACTCTAGTTTCCTATGAAATAAACGATTAAATTCAAAGATCTGTTTTTGCCCTCAGTCCAGCTAAATAAAATGGGTTAAGAGTCAAAAATATTTTTTTTTATGAATAACAGGAAGTCTGCCATAATTTTTAAAGAACAACCCTTCTGTTACATTTTTTTATTTTTTTCTCTACATTTTCTTATATGGTATGTTGATATTTGCACATCATTTCCACCTAATAAGAAAAAAAATCTAAATATAGATTATTGGTACTTTTACTGTCACTATGTTTGGAAATTAAATATAAGTGTTGCACAAAAAAACCTAAATGAAAAATAGATAAAATATGCAATCTGAAAAAAGACAATGGAACGCTGACTTAAAAAAAAGTAGTTAATTTGTTAGATGCAACAACAGCAATGCAGCACAAGCAATTTTCTGTTATCGATCACAAATCTGGCAACAAAAGCAGCAAATAAAATAAGCGTACAGTAGTAAAATTACTCACATCCGCCCAACTTTCACATTTTGTCACGCTACAGCCAATAGGAAATTTTGCTGGACGATAAATTATCCCATAAGTTATTGCAATAAATGATAATATCGTTGTTTTGAGACCATTTTGAGGTAATATAATGGTGACTGCAATGACTGTCATGATCTATGGTGGTTGAATGGTGAGGAAGGACGCAGGCAGACCCAGGATGAAGTGATGAATGATTTAATGAAAGTCCAACAGAGGCGGCACAGGGCAACCGACTGGTTGGACACGACGAGGATCCGACAACAGACAAAGACAACAGGTGGGACTAAATACACTGGGAGGGTAATCAAAGAAACGAGACACAGCTGGGAACAATCAACAGGGAAGACAGAGACTCACAGGGGGACAGGCTAATAATGGTTGAATTATGAGCCATTATTTATTTATTTTGAGAAAAACCTCAAAATAAATACATAGAAAACACATATCACAACAATGACACATTATTAAAGATCAATAAACTTTAAATTCTAATAAACATTTAATACTGGAACTGGTGAAAAAAAAGATATCCAAAAAGGGCGTAGATGAGACCAAAACACCAGATTGAAGACTTTTGTCGTCCAGTTTTTGGTAGAAAGAGAAAAACGATAAATCATGAAAGTGGAAACTATTGAGCTCATGTTAATTTATCATGCGATTAATTGATTAGTTGCTTATTGGGACAGGGCTAGGAGTGAATGCTTTTGTAACTCTGTGTTTCTGGGATGTTTCTAAGAATGAACTGCGTTCTCGTAAAAACATAAAATAAAATTGTGACATAAAATTCTCTAAACCTAAACTAACCCAGAGGTGCAACACGACTGCTGTCCGTATTGAGAACAGGAATGTTATATTTTGGTTTGATGGACCAAAATGCTTTTTAGCTGCTTCACAGCTGTCCTGCAACCCAAGCCGAACTCTGACCTCCTCCACCCCTCCATGAAATGTGATCCTCCACCTATGATTGGATTGGACCAGTGCTGCCACGGCGACGGGAGGAGCGGCATGCCATGGCTGGAGAGGGCAGATAAGCAGGCTGAAAGCTGAACGGTGGGTACACCGGATTAATAGCATGGCACTGGATTTTTTCTTTTTTTTTCTTTTTACATCCCCTGAATTTACAAGCTGTAATCCCTAAAAAGAACAGCTGCTTTGAGCCGGACGTCACAGCCGCTCTGCAGCCAGACCAGACCCACAGATCATCTAGCAGAACGGTTCGGACTGACGGCACGATGTGTTCATAACTGTAAAAACAGTTTTCACTAACAAGTCTGAACCAGTTTCACTCTGTTATTGCTCCAAAACATGACTGTGCTCTTTATTTATGGCAGCTAAAACAAACCGACTGACATGGAGGATAGTTTAGTCTTAAAATTTGATTTGGAAATGGGAAAATAATCCAGACAGCCCCACAGCTGAGAAGGCAAGCAGCCTTTTTTATTATGTATCGCTAAGTTGCTCATTTCAGAAATGAGTGCCAACTTACAGCTGGAGTTACACTGACTGAGTAAAAAAATAAGAGTAACAGCAACATGCCTTATTTATGTTGCGTATGTTTGCATTATGTACGTTTTTTGGGGGTAAAAAACCCATTTGAGACATTGCATACATCATCCTGGATGTTTTTTACAGCTCTTTCCTTCTATGTTTTAAATTTTTTATTTACATTGAAGATTTTGTTTTGTAACTGCAACTATATCTGTATTCTACTCGACATAGATTTTCAGGATTTTTTATTTTTGCAAAGCTCATTCTGTTTTGTGCATTGAACTTATTGGAGAAACAGGAACAAAAAATAAGGCATATTTGTGTTTTTTTTTACTGCATGTAAGGTCATTTTTTTAAATTAAATATAACAAAAAGGTTGTTGCTTCAACAATCATGAATGCTGTGGTTGTTCTTGCTTCCTATTTTTATGTTTTTAATAACTCTTGTATTTCTTCTTTTGTTTGCATTTTGACACAAAGGTTTCAAACACAAGTTTTATTGTTAGGATCTTATGTAACACAAAACAGCTAAATGTGTTTTTCAGTGCCATGTGTTTGTTTAGTCCCTTTTACTCCGATACCTCAAAGTAAAACCAATCAGAAAAAAGTGCATCCAGAGTTCTGCTATGTGTAATTTAATCTCAATATAGTGACAAGAAGAAATTTACTGTTGAGAGAAAAAAGAATCTCCTGCAAGCTGTCAGAGATGGGAGGGGAAAGAAGGTGTTTGAGACAAAAGTTCAACTCTAGATTACATGCTAAATGCCAAAAACACCAATAATATAAGGAACTATGTTGGAGCTGCGAACGACTTCAGATGGAAGGGAAGCCGGAGGACAACAACCCTAAAGAGACTTGAAAGTTCACAAATTATTTATGCTATTTTGCAAAGAAGAATGGCCAAAAACGTTGAGTGTTGGGTTTGAAAACCTGGTAGAGACATTTTCCAGAGCATCCGCGGCTGATATAGCGGTGAAGGTTGCTTCTACGAGGCGTCTCAGTGGGCTGAACGCTTCTGTGTCTACCATTTCCACCCCCTTTCATAAATACTTGCTGTTGGTCTTTCACAAGAAAATCCCAATACAGTAAATTGAAGTTTGTCTCTACTACGGGACAAAATGCTTTTAAAAAATGCATATCTGAGTCTATCTATATGTACTGACAAGGTTTTTTCCTAAACATTAGATGTGTTTGTGACTGATTGCTGATATTAATTCAACCATATTAAGCCTTAAATTGTTAATTAAGGCCAGATGAATAAGAATCATTATGAGTTATCACATGAGGCTGTGATTTTCTGTCCTTTTTATCACTATTATGTTAGTAAGAACTGTGCACTGCAAGTCAACCCTGCACACGAGGCCCCCATGCGCCCCAATCCAGCCAAGTGAGGTACTTACATGTAGCTTAAGTGGTGACCCAGTGTGTTAGCTCCAGCACCCTGCCTCTCTACCTTAAATAATCTTTCTCACTGCCATAGTCCATTAAGGAGCCCGCCACATCAGCAAAGTCCTCCAGGACCAGGCTAGTGGAATCCTCACCAGATGGCATCTCCAGGTCTGTGGCCCAGGGGCGGTGATAGGGACTGTCCTCAGTGGACACATTGCTTGTCCTTGGTCCCTGTTGGTCAGCTTGGAGGGCCTGAGACGGTCCGGGGTGGGACGACTGGTAGGCTGGATCTAGGTCTTGGCTGTGTTGCTCTTTGCCGTCGCTGCCACTGCCGCCGTCGCTGCCCTGCGAGGAGGGCGCCAGGACGTGGTAGAGGCTCGGCAGGCGGATGTCCAGTAGCACGCCGCTCTTTATGTAGAGCTTGTTGTTGAGGTTGTAGAGCTTTTCGGAAATGTCGTAGCCGAGCATGACGGAGAAGAGGTCGGCAATGTAGCAGTCCTTCGATATCAGCGTGTAGAGACGGCGGCGACTCCACGAGATGTAGCGGGAGTCTTCTTCTGCCGTCAGCGTCACCTACGGAGAATTCAAAGAACAACCAGGTTTGTGCCTTGTTGGTAATATTGTCTCCCTGAAATGAGTAATAGTGTAAATATGAAGTGGTCTGTGTGTTAGATCTCATACCTGGAACTTTCCTTCTTCATTTGGTCTGAGAGACTCCCACTCAGGGGAGTCAAGGAACTGGTGCGGGTGAATGTAATGCAGGAACTGACCCTCCAAAGACACATTGATCCTGTAAGTGAGAATAAGAGAGATAAAAATGGTAAATGGACTGTACTTGTATAGTGCTTTATCAATCCAGAGGACCCCCAAGGCACTTTACCCATTCACCCATTCACATGCTGATGGTGGTAAGCTACTTGATGGTAGCAAGGCAGCCAGACAGAAGGCTGCCATGCACCGTCACCACTGGATCCTCTGACCACCACCAGCGGGCAACGCAGACAAAACGTCTTGCCCAAGGACACAACGACCGAGGCAGACGGAGTGGCAAACGAACTGACAACAAAGAATTGAATGCAGGACAAACTACCACCACCACTGCCAAAATCATCAGGTGATAAACAGGGTAGAGGATAAATATGATACTGAAAACAGAGGGAGGTAGGGGACTCCCCAGACTCACTGGGCCTTGCGAGAACAAATGTTACAATTGCCATCCGACTGTCTATTAATTGTGATTCCCCTCGGTCTGGGCCTGGAGGTTGCTGGTTCAGAAAGAAGATACAATAGACTCCCACCTATTTGCAGATTTCTCTGTGGAGAGCTACTCTGAACCATTTGCAGAAAATCTGTCTATTCACTAATTTTTTTACACCACATATTCTATTGGAAGCTGGAATACCTAGGAGCAATAGTACGTGACATACTTTGACTGGCATTTGCAAAGCAACCAAGACAGGGACACCATTCATGGTCATTGCCAATGACTGGCTGTAACCTCAAGAGTGGAGACAAGGAAGATGGTGGCGGTTTTTAGAGGAAGCCTCAAGCCTTCACAGATTTAAACTATTTGCAGCCAGTTGTGGTACATAATCCCTGTGAATACCAGTGGTCCACTACGAACATCCCTCTGCATTTAGACACTTGGTGAGACCAAGACATTTCCAAGAATGAAGGATTGTCAATTTAGCCACTCCTGGTTCTTCTTTGGGACGTCCAAGGACCCCCAAATGTTGGTTCTTATAGGCACCTTTATCAGATCACCTTCTTCTGATGTGGAGGAGCAGAGCGTCTTCTCTAAGTGGGCCAAATGTATTGCCACAAACAAATAGTTTGTTATTTAAGGTTATTTCAGATGTTTGCCATTTTACAGCCACAGAACTGCAAGAAACTCAGACCCAACCCATGGAGGGAATATTCCACCATTTCCTGCTTCTCCTGGGGCCTTCACACTCAGCTTCAACTGGCTCCAGTGAATGCTAAAGGTCAGAGGTTGAACATACCGGCAGAACCACACCACTTGCCAAAAGTGAAGAAGGAACTCTGAGGATCCCAGAAAGGGACACTTGCCTCAACACAACCAACAACCATAACAAACAGAATCATGAATGAAGATTAAAATGTGTGAGATGATCCAGTTTAATTAACTGAATATGATCAAGAGAAGATATGTGGCTTATGCTTAACCTCTGCGCCGCCACAGCACCCCTGGAACGTGTTTCTTTACATAATCCAAGAAATATGCTGTATAATGTTGAGTATAATGTATAATGAGTAGAGTGGCACAGTCAGATGAGATTCAGTTTAAACTTTTTGCAAATTACGAAAACGACAACATCTGGCACAAAGAATCACCTCTCATCCCTCTAAGTACTTTCCTGTGGGAAGCAAAGAGGAGGCGCCAAGATGGTTTAATAAGGGATGAGTAAAAAGAAGAACAGATTGGCAAATCTGAGAGAGACTTGCTTCGTTCATCATATTAAACGATCGTTCAAACGTTTTAAGGAAAAGTATTTTACTCTTTTAGTGTGGTCCAATAAATGTAGACCACAACCAGGTTGATGCTAACATGGGAACTGTAGGTTGTTCAAAGAACGCGGAGGACTAGCACTTCTATATATCATATATAGATATCATAGATATTAGCCCCCCACTGACTTTGTGTGTATGTGCTTTGATGAAATTATACTAATCACTAAACATGTTCTTTAACTCCAGGTTGAAACTACAAAAGACATTTATTTCAAATAATGTAAGATGTTGTTCCCCTTGGGCTGCACTTGGTGTATTGTGGGCAAATCTGTTTTTCTCAAAGAGTCACAAATTATTTGCAGATGATGCCTTCATTGACATGTTTTAACTTGTTTTATATTGCAGTTAAATCAACTATGAGACTGATGCTTAATAAAGAATACCAGAGCAACACAAAACAATTGCCAGCAGTAATACTGTCACATTGAAAAGCAACTTGTGTAACATTTCGCCACTTCCGTGACAGTAACTCTTCAGATATTTGTTTGTTTTTCCAAAGTTGTCTCAGACTCTCAGCGCTCTCAGTTTCATGGCCAACATTTAATTCAAGGTAAGGAGAGCTGTCTGCTTCCACTCTCCTGTTGCACATAGAAAAGATAAAACTGAATCACTGTCAGATTGCACTGGGACCCACACTGATGAGTCACGGACAGAAATAATCTGTTTACGACATTTTTCTTCTGTAGCTTCCACAGATCCAACGCAGCTCCGCTTTGAGGATGTTTGGATGAAGAGAACACATTTCCTGTGAGGGTCAAAAGCTGCCAAGAGTCTGCAAGAGTCAGAACTTTGACGTCTAATTTTAGCAAAGCTGCTGATAGTAACCTAATATTAGACTTTGTTGTTTAAACATGTAGGGGGGAAAAAAACAGAGAGAACCCTCTCTGGCAACTTGACTTCATGGAGAAAAAGATTATCTAAAAAAAAAGGGATAAACTTAAAAAAAATATTTATTTAAAAATTTCAAGAGAAATACAAAATCATAATTTTGAAAGCTGAGGAGGGCCTTCAGCAGAAAATAATAACCTCGACTTTTAAAGCACACAATCTGTTTCAAAACCAATTCTTTATGAATTATGAAAGAAAGTTGTCAATATGGACCAAATAGAAAAACACAAAGTATGTTTGTGGTTTTTATAGCCAGAAATAGCTCAAAACCAATAAAGTCACTTTATCAAAGTTTCTCTAAATCATTAAATTGTGAAATTTTTCTTAAAAGTGTCAGTACACCACATGAGCAAGACAAATATCTCCGTTCTGGGAAAAAAAACTAAGAGTGTGAAACAAATACAGCACTTTGAAAGTCAGATATAATGGAAGGGACACTATGAAAGACATACATGGAAATAGTAGTAGCCCCTCCCGAATCGCCATTTTATATTTATGTCCAAGCACATTTTCTTTTGATAAACTACGATATTTACAAATGTAATATGAGTTTTGCCAGCAGAGGGCGCTCGGCGTCGTATGCACCAGTTGCTTAAGCTCTGGCCGCCAGAAGAAGCTCGCCAGCGCTTGGCGTAGAAGCGTAAAGAGGACACACCTAGTAGCTCCTACAACCTGCTCTTTTGTAGGTAAGCTGGGCGGTAAATTGTATATAGATGACAGTTAATAGTAGTGATGTCTCATAAGTACTTTGCCACAGAACAGAGGTAAAGCTAACGAGTGAAATCACACGTTTTAGCATTTGTGAACGTGCAGTGTGGTGAAAATGGCGGACTCGTGGTCCGCGGCGGTGGCAGAGCCTTTAAAAGTTTTTGTGAGCTAAAATGTGTGACTGTGACCTAGCTTAAATGGAGTAAATGTCATGTCCCGAGGTGTTTGTGTAAAACCGAACTGCTGAGCTAAATGTAAAACCAAAAGGAGCATCAGGCTAGGAAGGATATGGAGCTTGGTCTGTACCTGTGCTAGTTCAATTATCCGGTTGCCATTAAAGCCTGTATTCTCCATACAGATATTTTTGGTTTAGGGCTGCACTATATATTTACTATTTATTTTTCTGGTTATCAGAACATGTATAAATTACTTTGTGTTCATTTCATTAAGATGGAATATAATCAGAAACTGTTAGACATTTATTTAAAATCGATATAATTTAAAATACAATTTATAAAATTATTTTTTTTTTTTAATACAGACTAAGAACAGTTGTAAAAATCTCTATAAAACTACCAGTAATCAGAATTAATTATATTTGTTCATGCAGTAAAATGCATTTTGGTGATTTAGTCGGTTAATGAAAGTGATGTATGTGGAAATAACACATGTAGAAATGTAGGTGGAGACAATGCAACTGGTTATAAGAAGAGCTGTTTACTACTGTTTGATCATTGGGGTTTACAGTACAAATGTATTGTGTAGCAATGCTTGATGGAGCAACTTGCTGTTTCTCTGGTTTGCAGTTTATTCAAAAATTAAATAATGCTGCACCAGAAATAAGTTGGCCCATCATTTTCAGCAGTATCACTGTAACACAAACTGCGATTCCATTTACCGAAATAAATACGCAATTTGACATTTTGAAAATAAATTTGCTTAATGGAAACATGGCAAATTTGAAAAGACTTTTGTTTTGGTGCTAGGATTAGTTTTTTTTTTTTTTGTTTTTTTCCGGAACAAATTTGGTTTATTTTGCAAAAATTCAACGGAAAACCTTTTGGGTTTTTTTTTGCATCACACGATCACCAACTAGGGCAACATCCGCTGGTGTTGCTGCTGTGCATGTTGACGACAGGAAGTAGCTGGAGGATGATGGTGTTGCATGTTTTTTAACGGTGTGAAAAAAAAGCTTATCCACGTGTGGATTTTAACGCCGCAACTGCGAAATTGTGCTTTATTTCCGTCATTACCTGAATATCAATAAAGTCTTGCGCGCATTTGTAATGGAAACGCAGCTACGCTAGCCATGTCGTTTGGATTGTCTAGATGAATTTGGCTTCGCTTGCCACCTCAAAACGCACTGCCCACCTCCCAGACAGCAGAAAGGAGAGCTGGTCGATGTAGGTCTTGCCCTCCAGGGCGTACGTCTCCCCGGCCTTCAACTCCACTGCCTTGTTTTCGAACGCCTTGGCGACTTCGTTGAACACCTGGACGGGCACGCCCAGCGGCAGGTAGACGGCATGGTAGAGGGAGGTCAGCTCCTCGCCACGGAGGCCCTCCTGCTGGAGCCGGTAGAGGAGGTGGCAGATCTGCAGCAGGGCGGCCGCCAGCAGCAGCAGGTTCCAGGAGAAGACGTCCGGGCCGCACATGGTCAGCCAGCCCCACAGGGTGAGAAACAGGAAGGCGGGCGACAGGAAGCCGAAGATGAAGAGGGCGCCGAAGGCCCCGCTGCCTCCCATGTAGCCCAGAAACATAATGGTGTTGCCCAGATGGTAGATGGCCCCCTCGGTGTTGTTGCTCCAGCCGCCGCACACCGGCGGAGAGAACAAGGCGTCCCACAGGGTCGAGTTGTCCGCGCTCATGTTTGCAGTTTCGTTCGGTTGGACGCTCAAAACAAATGACGGAACGGTGACTGAAATAACTTCCTAGACGCTCAGAGTCTGGAGAGCTACAAGCTGCAGTGTTTGGGTACAAATAAACAGCTGATTCCGAGTATAAATATATTTATATAAAAAAAAGTTTGTTCCCGTGCCGTGCAGTGGAAAAATTCTTCAATGTGAAGAAGTTCTCACGGCTCTGTTTGCTCCAGAAACACAGCTGGAATGGGTCTGTCCTTCTCCTCCTCCTCCTCTCATCGCGAGTCCCCTTCCTCTGTCCTCTGCCCTCGTCTTCTCTTCCCCGCCTGTTGCTCAGTGCCACCGGCCCACACTGAGGGGCCAACAGATGGAGAAGAAGGGATAAGGGAGGGGACGCCGACAGGCCCCTAAAAGGATAACCATGTTTGGAATTGAAACCCAAGGAGGAGAGTGAAGGGACAGAAAGCAGGCCCGCTCCTTAACATAACAGAAGAGAGACATAAGAGAGAGAGACAGGGAGAGGAAGCACGGGGTGAGAGATGGGCTACATGACAAGAAACAGGCAGGAAGAAACAAAATGTCACACACCTAAAGTTCAGTTTTCTCCAAACTCAGTGAGTCCAGTCCAGTCCACCCCCAGGTCCGTGTCTTCATGGGGGGAGCAATGAGTATTTAGAGGCACAGAAATAAACGGAACCGCAGGGGAGGTCAAGTTTCAGGTGTAACAGCCGCTAACGCCACCGCCGCTCCGACTGGGGAAGTCTCCGCTCACAACTCCATCACGATGTCTCAGCTACGACGGCGCATTGGAGAGAATTTCTGCCAAGAGACTCCGAAATCTTCTAGAAAAACTTGGACATTTC